CTGGCTCCAAGGCAGGGTGGCACATGGCAGAAGGGCAACAGTTCATGGTGCCCACAGGGTAGCAAAAGCAACAAGGGACTTTAACAGCATTTTCCTGCCCCTTTTATCTTATTCAGACTACTTCAGTCGGGTAGCACTCACACTTTTAATCCTAGTGGCCTTGAGCCTAGCATTGCACCATGAATCAGTTCCAGCATCACAACTCTAGATCCAGCCACCTCCAAAAAAGCCCCATCTCATTCAGTGAGGCTTTGGGGGGACATCTAAACACGAGCCATAGCAGTATGTGTGTGTGTGCGTGTGGGGAAAGGGGTGCATCTGGAGTATCTCTGTATAGCAGGCTCAGCACTGACTGCAGGAATACTGATGTGACTGAGATTCCTTTGGCCTTGGCCCTTGAAGAGCCTTGAGTCTCAGCTATGAAAGAATCTTTCCAGTAAACCATGATCAGGGTTGGGTATCCAAGGGACCTGTGCCCCACAGGAGGTAATCTGGGAGGGCTCCCAAGGGAAGGTGGTTTCTGAGTTAAGCTGCATTGCCACCAACAGTCTTAGGTCCCCAGTCTTTCTACCTCCAAAAAGCTGTATGATGGGATCACAAGGCCTCCCTGCTTATCTTTGAGCCTCAAATGTCCACACCTGTCAAGTTGGGCACTACTTAGAACACAGCAGAGTGTGGGTAGGCAAAAGATTGCCCATACTGATTTAATTAGCTGGGGTGGCCCCCAGGGCTGGGTTGGTCACAGATAAGCCTCACAAAGAACAATGCACTGCAGAGTGTGGCCTCAGGCCTCTCAGCACCAAAATTTAAACCCTGTGCCTACAAGGGTGTTGTCAGGGCAAACAGTTTCACAGCTCTGGACCTGTTTCCTCACTTGTGGAACTGATGTCATAGTGCTGCCTCTTAGGGACACTGGAGGGATTAAACATAAAGCTTTCAGAAGGAAGCCTGGCACAGTCAGCCCTCAGTGAGTATGGCTGTCACAATTTTACCATCTCCTAGAGCAGCTTCTGTCACCCTAGGAAGTCCCTGAGGGGCTTCCCACACTAGTTTTGGTCTGTGAGCCGCACTCACAGATCAATTTTCTGAAATTCCCTGGTGCCTTCTCCTACCCTCCTGCAGCTGGGAGCCCTAGGGCTGGGTCACTTGCCTGTTCTAGACTGTGGGTTCCAGGGGGTAACCATGGCAACACATAGTCAGATACTTGGCATTTATTGATTGGACTAATTTTGAGGGATTTGCTAGGGGTGGAATCCAAGAACTCAGGTGGGACCACTAAGCTGTACCCCAGCCCATGGATTAATATTTTTAAAATTTAAAGAGTGTACATGCAGTAAAATTGCATTGAATCCTTTTCTCAGCCCTTTGAGGTAGGGCCAGATAAACTGAGACCCTACAGATAAGGCTGCTGAAGCTCTGAGAAGGGAAGTAATTGGCTCAGCTCACATAGTGCTGTCACCACAGGTCCCTTGGTTGCTTGCCCTGTCTGCCTTGAAGCCCACCATTCTGCCTTCCCTCTTTTTATGCTCCTCCAAGCACCCTTTGGGGAGGGCTGTATAAGGATTCCTGTGAAGATGGTGATCTCCACCCCTCTCCCATCTATGTCTCCATTTCGCACATCCCACCAAGGGTGAGAGGGGGAAAGAATGAGGTGGGCGTGGACTGTCACCTATGTCCCCTGCAGGGTCTGGAGCTGTGTCGTGTGGTGGCTGTGCATGTGGAGAACCTGCTCAGTGCCCGGGAGAAACGGCTCACACTGCCCCCCAGTGAGATTACCCTGCTCTGACATGGCCTCTAGCCCTCCAGGTACCTTCTGCTAGAAGACTCTGTGTGGCCTTAGGGAAGCCACTGGACCTCTTTGAACTGGTGACTCCCGGAAGGGGCCAGAACCTTGAAGGAAAGCACAGGAGGAAGGAAGAGCAACCCACAAACCCAAGAGAACTGATCCAGAGTTGGGTTAGAGTAACAGCATGCAGATAGGAGAAACTCTCAAAGGCTGGCCCACAGTACAGGAACTCATAGGCCTCCTGCTGGGTGCCTGCCACAGACCCTGCTTCTGATGCCCCTAAGGCAGGGAAGCCCCACAACCCTGCATGTGGTTTACTCAGGGCCTGATGTTTGAATCTACACCAGCGTCACCTCCCAGCCCCCCAATGTCTTCCTCAGGTGTGTTGAACCTTGTGCTGCCTCTCAACCTAGACCTGTGACCCTTGGTAATTTCTGTTCCTGGTAGCCACTTCCTCCATGATGTTGCTAAGTGGCCAGACAACAAGCCAAGGTAGGAGGCAGGAATTGGAAGCAGAGCTGTGCCCTACTCACTATGATCAGCACTTCAAGAGAGACATCTACCTTTGTTCTCCCTGTAATGTCTGTCCCTCTACTCTGCACTCCTTGGGTAGCCCCAGCCCCATGCCCCCACCACTGGATGAGCCACACAAGGTTCAAGAGTGGTAATAAGGAAAAAGAGAAGTTTGGAAAAGAACTTCCCAGAGATGATACACTAGGGTTGAGTTTTGAAGGATGCCTAGGAGTGTCTTAAGAATAGATGGAAAGAGGGCCAGAGATTTAGCTCAGTGGTGCTGCTGCCTGCCTTGCAAGCGCAAGTCCCCAAGTTCAATCCCTGGTACCAAACAAAACAAAACAAAAACAAAATAGATAGAAAGGAGAGGAATAAATATTCCAAACAGAAAACTGTGCTTCTTTGCTGTATCCCCTGGAGCTTTGGACTTTGCCTAACACAGGGTAGGCACTTATAAAAATACTTGTCATGTACATGAAAGAATGAATGAATGAATGTGAATGGCAAGTGCTAGTGTATTGGGAATCTTGGAGGAGGAAGCACTAGGCTTGGAATTGGAGGATGGACAGGTAGTGGAGGCATAACTACAGAAGCAATGGCATTAGAGAAAATTTATTTACTCATTCAGCCATCCAATGTCTATTAAGTATAATGCCAGGCACTTGGAGCTGCTTAGGGTCAAGTGACTAACAACAAACCATTACACCTGTGAGTGGGGGCTAGCCTGGTAATGAGGGGAAGGACCCACTCATGTGGGGGTCCTGAGACTAAAGAAGCTGTCAAGGGGGAATGGGGCTTGGCTTATCAGGCCATATTATGGATTTAAGACTTTATCCCAGAGTCATGAGACCCCCTGGAGGGTTTGCCAGTGGGGAGCAAGGGTTTGGCAACCTGCTCAGATTGTATTTTGAAAAACCCTTCCCATCACAAGGGCAGGGAGTGACTGTAGGAGGCAGGGAGATCAGGGGAGGCTGCTGTAGGCTCTAGGGGATTGAGAAGCTCTGTGGCATGGCTCCTAGTAGTGGTGGCAGGGGTGGGGAAAAGGTGATAATGTGGGAGGGATTTAGGAGGTCCAGCCTACAGGCCGGAGTTGGGGGGTCAGTGGGACCATCCTAGGAAGGATCAAGGAAGAGCCCTTGACACATATGCTCTGGCTGTTGCACTTCGACCAACTACTGACTGCCTCAGGTTGGCTCCTACAGTGCCACATGCGGAGGTGAGGGGAAGAGGGCAGGAACCAGCAACTGCCTGCTGTCAATTAAGTGACCACTGCCAGCCAGGTGTGGTAGTGCATGCCTGCAACACTGCAACAATCCCAGCTCTTAGGAAGCTGATGCAAGAGGATCACCATGAGTTCAAGGCCAACCTGGGCCACATAGTGAGTTCAAGACCGGCCTGAACTACATGGTGAGACCCTGTCTCAAAAGACCAAACCAATGCTCAGGGGCACTGCACCTGCCTTGCAAGCTTGAGGTCCTGGGTTGATCCCTGGTACTGGGGAGGGGGAAAACAAAAAACAAAAAAACAACCATTGCCAAGGTGGCTGTACCTCCAGTGACTCACCCTGCTGCCTCCTGGGGGTTTTTTCTGTCCTTGAGCCAATGCCCGGCTCAGTGCAGGGGTTCCACAACAGTGGAATGGGCTCCAATGTGAAGCATCCCAAGCCTCTCCTCTGTTCTACTCTCCCATTTTCAAAATACAGATCACACACAAGGACATCCATCTGTAGGTTAACTACTTTTGCCCTGAAATCTTTTCCTCACTCAAGCTAAACTATGCAGCTCAGGGAGGGATGACATGGAAAAGAATGAAAAGGAGACACTTTCGGGTTTCAGAATACAAGTAGACTACCGTGTCAAAGAGGCCACTTGTAAGTGGTTCATCCAGGTGGCACTGCCCCAACTGGTGCAGCGTACAGCAGAGAGCTGCCAGCTGAAACTGGACAAACTGTAAACCTGAGAGTTAAATAAGTGATTGAGACACAACTTAACAGAGCCTAATGGGATTCTCAGTTGACAGATGAGGAAACTGAGGTCCAGCCTCGAGATCATCAATCTCTTCTACTTAATATATATGACTTGCTTTCACCTTTAAGATCACTTTATGAGGTGGGAACTAACGTTATCCCCATTTAACAGACCAGAATTTGAGAGGGCTGCTAGACATAAGTAGATTAAGGCTCAATAAATCAAAACAAAAAATATGGTAGGAGGAACTGGTATTCCAAGTGGCAGAAACAGCCTGGGCAAAGGCCAGGAGGAGGGACAGGGTATGTCTGTACCTAGGACTAGGCGAAAAGAGGGCGGAGGAGGCCAGCCTGGAAGGGGTCCAAACAAAGGCCTTGAGCGCCAAGCAAAGCGGCTGAACTTTATCCTGGGGAGCTATGGGAGGTTTTCGGGCAGCCCACGCCATGCCATCTGCTTCACAACTTTTGAATGATTTCTAGTAAACACTCATAGCGCGGCTGCATCTGTGCACCTACTTCTCCCATTGTCATCCCGGGAAAAGTTGCCCCATACTCTCAACCAGTCCCCCCCCCCCCAGCTGCGCACGCGCCCGCCGCCACCGGTACGTGACTAATGGAACGTCTGCGGCGGCGGCGGTGGGTGAAAGTGCCCAATGAGGGTTCAGCTTCTATAGCCGTCGCCGTTTGGGTTCAGAGTTAGGCCCGATGCCCTTGGTCCTAGTTTGAGAAGTTTCCGCCAGTGTCAGAAGTTTCTTTAGGCGCCCTGAAGGATTTCCTCCGGTGTGGCCTCCATTCGGGCACTCATTTAGCCACCCATTTGCTCTTCGGGGGTCCTCGCCGCCCTCCTCTCAACTAATTAAGTGATGGACGCAGTAGCCAAGGAGACTGTCTGATTGACAGGCATGCTAACCAACCAAGTTGTGAAAAGTGCAGTCTGGGCGGGCCCGGCGCGTGGCCGGCGGCCCAATTAAAAAGTGGAAGCGCCAAAAGGGGCGGTAACAGGACGGCTTAGGTTGTGGCGGTTCTCCGGTGATTGCGTGCTTGGGACTGACACAACTAGGGGCACTCAGATGGTGCTATGACGCGGTATAGCAACAGTGTTGAGAGCGTGAGCGCATTCTAGCGGAGGGAGCCCTTCGATCCTGGAGAAGGCGCGACGTGGAGGCAGGTCGCTCTGTTTGAGAGTACTCCCTCGAAGCCCTTCAGCGAGTGGGGGAGGGGCGGTGGACGAGCAGCGGTGCCCTTGTGCGCTTGCGCTGGCCCGTGCCGACCTATCCCGCACGCACGCGCATGCCCACAGCGTCCCGAGCCGCGGTGGCCGGCGACACTGCGCTTGCGCGCGGTAGAGCCCGTTGAGGTGCGGCTCCGGCGGACGTCGGGCGGTCGGCTCGTGACGTAGTGAAGAGAGCTTTAAAGTCCGGGCTGGGCCGGGTGTCGGAGGGTCTGGCCAGGAGTCGGGTCGAATCTCTTTAGCGGGCCTCCACGGCATGAGGCGTTGCTGGCGCCCCTGCCCCCCGGGACGTGGAAAAGGTGGAGGAGGAGGAAGTACTGTTGTCGCCACCGCTGCATGACCCGTCACCCCTGAAGCCCGACCCCGCGCCCAACCCCTCGACTCCCCCTGCCGGGTACCCGGCTTCGCATGGGGGTTCGCCTCTGAGGACCCCCTTTTCTCCGGGGGCCTCTGGGCACGTCCCCCAAGAACCATGCCCGGGCGCTCCACCCGCCCCGGAGGACCCTAGAGTAGTGTTGCGGGGGCATGGCGGCCGCCAGCGGCTACACGGACCTGCGTGAGAAGCTCAAGTCCATGACGTCCCGGGACAACTATAAGGCGGGCAACCGGGAGGCCGCGGCTGCGGCAGCCGCTGCTGTGGCCGCTGCAGCCGCGGCTGCGGCGGCCGCTGAACCTTACCCGGTGTCTGGGACCAAGCGCAAGTATCAGGAGGACTCGGACCCGGAGCGCAGCGATTACGAGGAACAACAGTTACAAAAGGAGGAGGAGGCGCGCAAGGTGAAGAGCGGCATCCGCCAGATACGCCTTTTCAGCCAGGACGAGTGCGCCAAGATCGAGGCCCGCATTGACGAGGTGGTGTCCCGCGCCGAGAAGGGCCTGTACAATGAGCACACGGTGGACCGGGCCCCGCTGCGCAACAAGTACTTCTTCGGTGAGGGCTACACGTATGGAGCCCAGCTGCAGAAGCGCGGGCCTGGCCAGGAGCGCCTCTACCCGCCGGGAGACGTGGACGAGATCCCCGAGTGGGTGCACCAGCTGGTGATCCAGAAGCTGGTAGAGCACCGCGTTATTCCCGAGGGCTTCGTCAATAGCGCCGTCATCAACGACTACCAGCCAGGCGGTTGCATCGTGTCTCACGTGGACCCCATCCACATATTCGAGCGCCCCATCGTGTCTGTGTCCTTCTTTAGCGATTCTGCTCTGTGCTTCGGCTGCAAATTCCAGTTCAAGCCTATCCGGGTGTCAGAACCTGTGCTTTCCTTGCCTGTTCGCAGGGGGAGCGTGACTGTGCTCAGGTAACCCACCTGGGAGGAGGGGCGGCCCTGCATACTGCTTCCTTAACTATGCACTCGGGTCCAGGAGACAGCAGCCAATAGGAGCCTGTGCTTTTACGATTCTGACCCATCCTGTTTCTCAGTTGGAGGGGACAGGGAAAGAGGCCTGTTTTAAAAATGTGTACACCAAGAAAACGAGTCAGGGAAAGGACGTGGAGTTCTGTATCTGAAGGCAAGTTTGTAGGTTGTAGGGAACGGGAAGGGGCCTGTGTTTAAAATACACGTAGCAAGAAAGCAAGTCTGAAAACCAACACGGAATTCTGTACCTGAAGGCGGGTTTGATATTATCCCAGGCTTAACTAGGAATTAATCCAAAAGGCTCTTTCCAGAAGGCTAAGATGTTAGAAGGCTTTTCCTTTGTGATTTGGGCCTCCTTTTCAAAAATCTATGCTTTTTAAAAAAAAAGGTTGAGGACGGGGAATTTAGCTCAGTGGCACCACACCTGCGCTGCAAGCACAAGATCCTGAGTTCAATCCCTGGTACCAGAAAAAAAGTGGGGGGGGGGTGAATTTACTATCTAAAAGTTTCCTGCTCTGCTGTTCTTGGTTTCTTTAACAAAATGTTTGCGGATTCCTTAGCAGAGAAATACAGGCAGAGGCCCTGGGGAGATGACTTCCAAGCAGTTTAATGGTTGGGCCGGGAAGAAAGTGCAGCACACTCTTAAAATTTTCCTCTCTTAGTTGCAGACAAGCCCAACTGTCCTTTGTAAGACATGTTACCTCTTTGTGAGATGGAATAAAACAAAATACTACAACTGGTTTCTTGACCTTGGTCTTGTAGTTCTGTGAGCAGCAGATCTTAGGCTCTTGGCCTATTTGGGACCTCAGATCCTACTGAGAATTAGCTCAGTGTCTTGGCCCCCAGGGAAGATTGTCTGCTGGAACACTTTCGTTTGTATAAAGTGAAAATTTACATTTGGATGCTACCCCTCTCCAGCCCTGAAACAGGTAAATCTAGTAGTGTACTTCATTAATCCCCAAAACCTCTTAGGAGGTCTAAACTACAGTTATTTAGAACAGTGTGGTTGACTACCACGAAATACAGGATCTGGACACACTAAGATTTTGTTGTGAGTATCTTAACCTCTGCAATGCAGTTGGTGCCATACCTTACAGTTACGAAAAGCAAGGGGCCGGGGATTTAGCCCAGTGGTTCTGAGCAAGGTCCTGAGTTCGATTCTTGGTAACAAAAAAAAAAAAAGGAAAAGTAAGGCCCTGGAAGCCCTCTTGATGAGAGTGGAGGTCGTCTGTCTCATTTGAGTTGAACAGCTGTGGCTGCTTCCAGGTTAGGGATGGCACTAGAGCCTTGAGATGTTGAGGGCCTTCTGATGGGATAGTCTGAGAAGTCACTGGCCAAAGCAGTACTTCGGCTCCTAAAGAACTACCTGTCAGATGCCTGTTTGTCATTTGGACCCCTAAGTGTCTCAGATCTGCATGTTTTCAGATGTATGTTTTAGTAGAAGCTTTTAATATAGGATTTCCTGGGCAGATCCTCCCTTATGTAGCAAGGCAGGTTGGGGGTCTGATTTTTTGTTCACAGACTTTTAGTGCTAAAAGGACCTTAAATTAGAACCATGTGGTCTCTTAATGAGACATTAATTTTCTATGTAGTTGTAGACCCATAGGTTTGTTTTCAAGAGGTCTGGCAGTGATGTGGTGCTTTTTTTTTTTTTTTTTTTGGTACTGGGGATTGAATTTGGGTCCTTGCGCTTGCGCAGCAGGCAGCGAAACCACTGAGCTAAATTCCCGGCCCAGTGATCTGGTGCTTAATGGGGAGATCTCAAGGCATTTTGTGACTTTTGTTTGTGTGTGTATGTATGTATGTGTGTATGTATTCATTTTGTGATTTAAAACTCCCCTGACACATGCACAGCTCTGGATTGAAGCGCAGAAGTTTCAAATTCTTAATATGCAGGTCTGTTAGTGATCAGCAACAGGATTGCATCATCAGGAAAATTCTCTTCATCTTTTCCTTAGAATGGTAAAGTCTTAAAGCTTTCCCAGTCCCTTCCAACTCTTCTTGGACTCAGACTTGGCTGCAGAGTTAGTGTAGGAGGCCCAGCCATGTCCTGAAAAGTGCTGCCCTAGGCTGTGAATCAAGCTCTCCTCTCATTTGCTTTTGGATCTTGTGGGGGTTCTCAGAGCTGGCTTTCTTATCCATAGGGTGCAGATGATGCCAACTTCTGAAGCCTATTAGAATTAAAGTGATTTGGTGTCTTAACATAGAGCCTGGCACAGTGTAGTGAAATGGGTACTTACCTTCATATACAACCACTTAATTAGTTCCTGCTGTCTTGATGGGGAAGGGGCCAGAGATTTGGTGGATCCTGAAACATGGGTTTGTAGTTCAGACCTAGTTGAGAGCTCAGGTCCAGTGGATAGTCACAGCCCAGGAAGTAATTGGAGGAACATTCTAAAGGGACGTCTTATCCACTGGAGGATCGGAAGTTTTGGGAAGGAAGCTGGAATTAGCCAAGCAAAGGAGGGGAGAATACAACAGAGATTTTTGGCAGCAAGCAGCAGAGCAGGGCATAGCTATAGATAAAGGGAAGGGGTTGGTGCTTCTTTAAGGCAGATGGAGTTCATTATTAGACTGGTGAAGCTCTGGGTCAGCACTTTTCAACAGTGTTGCTGTTGATACGAGGCCTCGGTGATTCTTTGTTGTTTTAGCTGTTTATGCATTGTAGAAAATTTAGCAGCATCCCAGGCCTCTGTCTGCCAAATTCTAATAGCCCTTTTTATGACAACCAAAAATGTCTCTAAACTTTGCCAGATATCCTTGGGGGAGAGATTTAGAAAGGCAGAGTCATCCCCAGTTGAGAGCCACTGGTATAGGGTCTTGGACACTCCCACTAATTTAAATCTTCTAGCACCTGCTAATTTAGCACTCTCAGTTTACTTGGTAAGCAGGTGGATGAATACCTGCCTATTAGTGCCCCTCTTCAAATCCTGAGTGTAAGCTGGTAAGAGAAGTGGTGCTTTTTCTCACTTCCTCTTGGAGATCCCAGCTCAGAGGTGATTAAAGCTGCAGATTAGAAGGGAGGGGCTGATAAAGACCAGTGCTCTGCCTGTTTGGAGGGATTCTAGCAATTGTCATCTGATTGAGACTTCAGTTGTTAGTGGTAAATAGTGTCTGTAGTTGTCCAAGGCAACACGGCAAGAGTATAACTATATTTTAATAGTGGTCAGTGTGATATTGATGTGTGGCAAACATTGACATAGCAGTGCCTAAACTTCTCTATTTAACAGGGTTCACAGACCTTTCTGTAAGTGCTTTACACTCCTTTTCAAATCCATCTGTCAGTTTTTTGTAACCTTCCTCTTTTGAACCTGAGTGGGCCTTCTTTTTATGCTGTTCTCCAGAGAAATATCTTTTACCTCCTTTTCATATCAGTTCATCCTACACTTCTCCTGTCCCTGTTGGGTGAATGGAGCAGATTAAAACAAATTTCAAGGTGGGTGTGGTGGCACATGCCTATAATCCCAGTATTCAGGAGGCTAAAGCAGGATGATCGCCATGAGGTTCAAAGCTAGCCTGGGCTACTTGGCAAGACTCTGCATCAAAAAAGAAAAGAAAACAAAAAAAAATTTGAATTGGATTAATTAGAATAATTACTTGAAGGCTAATCACATACTTGCTTCTGCCTCTTTAATCACTGCTGCATGGTCTGTAGTAGCCACCTACCCAGAGAGCTAGGACTCAACCATCCGTCAGGAAATGACTGTTTGATGTGTTATTTATTTTTTTTGGTATGGGGGATCAAACTCAGGACCTTGCACTTGCGAGTCAGGTGGCAGCACCACTGAAGCTAAATCCCCGACCCAGGAAATGACTGTTTGAATCAGCCATGGGGTGCATAATGGTGAGCTCAGCCTTTGACTCTTCCAGTGAACAGTTGGTATTGGATGTCAATTTTGGGTTAAGAGCTGATCTTGTTCAGCTGGTTGAAAGCAAAATTTAGCTTTCATGTTTAAAATAGTTGGGAAAGTAGGGCAGATAGGTCCTGGGCCACATCTCTTGTGTAGAATCTTCCATTTCCAAGAGAGGGGGCGGAACTATGGGATGAAGTCAGGGCTGTGTACTCTGGCAGGCATCTTGGTCATCAGGGTGGCTGCCCTTGGTGCCAAGTCTCACGAGAAGGCAACAGACAGCCAAGGAGAGAAAGCTATGGCCTTAATCAAGAACAGTAAGCAAGCAAAGGATAAATAGGCCATACAAATTCAAGGTTGGCTGGGTGGCCATTTTAGGCTGGGCAGTTGGTGTACAGCCATTACTGAGATGCAGTATATGTTCTCAGAGCATAAGCTTATTTCTGCAGACCTCTTCTGTAGGGCTGGTGGTTATATGTGTAAGTCTGTTGGTGAGGCCAGGAAATCTTCCAGGACAGGTTAGATCTTGCTACCAAGAAACACAGATGGATTTTCCTTTCTTATTTTATTACTTATCCTTCCATTCCCCATCCCACTTCCACTCTTACCCAACGCATAACACCGTCACCACTGCCACAAACCTAAAAGTTTAATGGCAAACTTGGTGGTAGTTCCACTTCAGCTATTTGACTCTGGGCAAGTTATTTTTTTAATTTTTATTTTATTTTTTGGTACCAGGGATCGAACTTGGGTTCTTGGGTTTGCGCAGCAGGCGGTGAAACCACTGAGCCAAATCCCTGGTCTGGACAAGTTATTTTATGGGCCTCAGTTTTCCTCTTCTGCAAAATGAAGTCACTGATGCTATAGTCATTACAGAAGATTGAATCTGTCACATTGCTGAATGCTTGAAGTATATCTAAACATGTCTCAGAAACAGAGCTCCCTTTTGTGTTCAGCTCCTGTTTGTACTTTGATGTGTGCAGATTAAGGATGCAGCAGGTTGACCTTCTACATTCAGAAAGCCCCAGGACTTCTCATAAAATTAAGCTGTGTCTCTTCTTGGAGGCTTGGGCCTGGTAAATAACTTGAGCCTGAGCTCAGAGACCTGCCCCTGTGTCTAGGTGGTCTGCTTGCTGCCTCCCAAATGCCTAAGCTTCTCAGTCCTTTAGGTCTGTGGTGAGAGAGGTTCTTACCAGGTGGTGATTTTGGCCAGAAGCCCTCTCTCTGCTCTGTTTTGGACTAAGCAGGACATAAATAAGAAGTGGTGACCATCTTGGAAATGCACCTCAACAACTTAGTCTCCAAGACCATCTCCAGATATATAACCCTACACAGTCCCTTATACATCATTTTTCAGACTGTGATCCTCTGAGGAAGGGCTTGCTGTTTATCTTTTTGCAGGTGTAGAAACTGTGGCTCAAAAGTAAAATCATTCAGCTTTAATATACATTTTATTTTTTGTTCACTTTGCAGAGTTACGACCTTTGCTTTGTCTTATAGGGAAGACACAATTTGCACAGGTGAAATGTAATAGTAAAGACTTCCTGGGAGGGTGTCATTGAACATTGTAGGAGAAATCCAGTCTGGGGGACTCTGAGAAAGCTTCCCAGAAAAGGAGATAGATGTGTCAACTCCCTGAAGAGTCACACTGAGGTGTAGGACTAGTGGGTGAAAAAACTAGGCTCTGCTACTCTTCATACTAATGGTTGCTGCTGAGGGTACAGCTCAGCCAAGGAGCAGGCAGACTGGACTGCATGAAGTATTTCCTTCTGTCATTTCCCTGTGAAAACAAAGGAGCAGGACACGCTGGAACTTTTTTTCATGCCAGGGGTAGGGCTGGACCCAGGGTATATTAAGTTTCAAGCTGGCAGCCTAGGACTTTCAGTTTCTCATAGTAGCTGAGTTCCTTAGCAATAAATAACAATCTTGTGGATCTCTGCTGGGCACTTTCTGCTGAAATTTGGCCAAGAGAGCTGTTGATCAGAATTTTGTTCCCACTCCTAGAGGAGCCCAGTACAATCACTGGTCTTTGGGCACAGCTGCTAGGAAGTTCTGGGTTTTTTGTTGTTTTTTTTCTTGGTACCAGGGATTGAACTCAGGACCTTGCGTCTGTGAGGCAGGCTCGGTGCCACTGAGCTAAATCCCCGGCCCTTAGGAAGTTCTGGAAGATAATGAGCCCTTCAGGTAGAGTTAGTGCCAAGGTCATTTCTTTGAGCCTGCATCACTACCGCTACACAGTTCTGCTGAGCCCTGGGCTCAGGGAAAGTACCTGACATGGCTTATTGTTTGTTCTAGAGCCCTTTAGGGGATGGAGGCAGTCATGTTTTGACAAACATCTGAATTTTCTCCAGAACTGCATTAAGAGAAGTGGTTCCTTGTTGGAAATGAGAATTCATGGCCCTTGGTCATCCCTGTTGCCAAGTAAAACAGTTTGATAACTGTTGCTTATAGCAGGGAACGTTGCCTGTAGCTGGCACTGCAGATTCAGGCCTTAGAAATGTGCCTTTGGACTTAGATCTTTTTGGGAGCCCTCTGGGTATACAGTTCATGGGACTGTCTTGCAACCCAGGCCTTCATTCAGCAATGTGGAATATAAGAATGTGGATTGACACTTGGAGATTTTTAGCCTTGGGAAAGGGGCTCTGGAGGCCTCTGCTATTGGCAGATCTCTGCAGGAAGTTGTAGATCATATCTCCTTGGCAGGTGCTGAATCTAAGATCCTGGCTTGCCTTGGGGTGGTCTGGGACCCTCTGTCTGTGTTAAGTACTTAGCAGTGGTAGTGTGGTCCCAGGCACACTGCACTATCCAAAACAGCCTAGCAAGTAGGCCTCTCCCTGTGCTTTCCAGGGTTATTTAACCATGTAAGTCATGTAACTCTTATTATGTGATTCTACCTGGAAGGGAGGAGGTGATATCTGACTTTTAAAATCTTGGTAATAAAATGAATCCAAAGGTATAGAGCATAATAACAAAATGAACACCAAAGAACCTGCTGTTCTGCTTACTACAGATAAACTGAGGTTTAGCTTTAGCATGTGACATATCTAAGGTCACAAAACTAGTAGGTGACAGAAGTTTGGTACGAACACAAGTCTCTTCAACTTCCTAATTCCTATGTAGTACTTGTCATTGTGAATTGACATACATTTTTTTTTTGGTACCAGGGCTCAAACTCAGGACCTTGCGCTTGCGAGGCAGGTGCGGTGCCACTGAGCTAAATCTCCGGCCCATCATAAATTTTTGTTTTTGGTACCGGCGATCGAACTTGGGGCCTTGCACTTGCATGGCAGACGGCGAAACCACTGAGCTAAATCCCCGGCTCTCCGACATAAATATTAATAGGTGTTATTTGAGAGAGTTCTTTGATTAGTGCCCAGTTAAATGAAGTTAGCAAGGTTCTTTTGCTGTACTAATTCTCAGATCCTTTAACATTCTCAGATACACAGCAATGCTTTTTTGAAACTAATCAGTATTCTCTAAATTGATATGACTGTGGATGTGGGGCTGGTTGGTGTTCAATGAGAATACTGAAGAATCCTGACCTAGGAGCAGCTGAGGGCAGAGGAAATCTATAAAATAAAGATTTCTTGTTCTATCACCAGCAAGGCTTTGAGTCAGATTTCCCAGTCAGAAGTATTTTCTTCTAGGGCAGATCCTGATTATTTTTTCTTTGTTTTGGTTTTGAGCTTTCTGCTTTGTTTGGGTTTGGGTTTTTGGAGACAGTCTTTTTTCTTTTCTTTTCTGGTACTGGAGATCAAACTCAGGACCTTGCGCTTGTGAGGCTGTGAGGCAGGCGCAGTACCACTGAGCTAAATCCCTGGCCCTGGAGACAGTGTCTTGCTAATAGTCCAGCCATGCTTGAAGTTGGTCTGTAGCCCAGGCTGGCCTTGAACTCTTGATCCTCCTGCCTCAGCCTCCCAAGTGCTGGGATTATAAGATGTGTACTATCATGTCTGGCTCTCTTTATTTCTCTTTTCCTCCCTTTTTGTAACCCACCTCACTGCCCTGCGACCCCCCCCCCCAATATCTCTTGTACTGGGGACTGAACGCAGAGCCTCACACATGCTAGATAAGCACTCCACCACTAAACTATATCTTTAGCCCTTTTAAAATTTTCTGAGCCTGGATCTTTTGATCTTCCTGCTTCAACTTCCCAAGGAGCTGGGATTATAGGTGGCAGCTTGGCTTTTTATTCCTCATTGGCTCTTGCATCCAGTTCTTGCCCACAATTTAGCCAGCATGGCCACTTTTAAGGAGTTTTTCACAGCCAGACATGTGGTGTTTCTGATACTTAAGCATGTGTCTGTAGAGCTACCCTTGAGAAGGAGCTGATCAACAGGAGAGAAAGGTTTGTGGTCTGGGGGCAGCCAGGAATCCTGAGCAAGTGGGAAAGCTGAGAAAGTAGGGTCTTCTCTGGCCTGTAGCTGGGTGAGTTTCTGGCTGTGTAAATCTGCTGACTCAGTGAAGGAACTTGGGGTGGAGATGTCTCTTGGGTGCCCAGCTCCCAGGGAGAGTGTATGAGGGGCTCAGGAATTGCTTCCAATAGTTTCAAATCAGAAAGGCACTAGCTAAGGAGAGGATAGTCATTTACCCATATTCATTGGCCTGTGAGCAGTTTTTTTGGGTTTTTTGTTTTGTTTTGTTTTGTTTTTTGATATTGGGGATCAAACTCAGGCCCTTGCGCTTGCAAGGCAGGCTGCAGAACCACTGAGCTAAATCCCTGGCCCTGTGAGCATTTTTTAAAGCCATTTCACTTGTTGAAAATAAATAAAAATTTGAGTGTGATAGAAATTCTTAAAACGTTTAAAACACAGCTGTCTTCAGAATTTTGGGCCTCCCTAGAGGAGGCTTTTGCCTATATCCAAATAGATACATTTTCTTGGAACATGGCAGTCCTAGTTCTCTTTGTGTGGGGGCCCACCCCCACCCTGAACCCCTACCCCCCACCACCACCACTGGGAACTGACCTCAGGACCTTGTACTTGCCAGGCAGGCGCAGTGCCACTGAGCTACATCCCTAGCCCCAGGTTCTCCCTGCTGACTTGGTACTGTCAGTGGCTGCCTTGGCTTCCTCTGCATGCTGAAGGATGGGGAGGAATGGATGGGGAGGTCTCTGTCTCACCAAGATTTCCTCCAAGTCCCTCCAGTTGCCTCCAGATCCTCTTTAACAATGTACCCTCTTGAGGGCTCACTATTGCTGTGCTGAAGATTTAACCCAGGACCTTATACAGTATATACGAGGTAGGTCCTTTGCTGGACTCTAACCTTAGCCCTAAGGATTCTTTAAAAGAAAGATTTCTGTCCTATGCAGAGTGAGTCCTGCTTTGGCCTCTGCCTTAAGAGTCTCCTTTGCATCATGTCAGTTTTCTTTGAGTGGTTTGTGGGCAGAAGCTTCCTAGAGCTTAACATGGTATTTTCCTTCCATTTAGATTCTTGAACCTTGTGCATAACAGAGGGCAGCCATAAGACCTGAGTCTTATACTTGTCCCCTAGGAACTTTGGTTGTCTACTCTTCATGGTGATATGTGCTATGTTTCTTTCCAGTGGATATGCTGCTGACGAAATCACTCACTGCATACGGCCCCAGGACATCAAAGAGCGCCGAGCAGTCATCATCCTCAGAAAGTAAGTACCCTGATGTCTAGTACCTTATTCCTTGGTTATAGGTCTGTCTGAAGATGTAGATCTGGGTCCCTTAAAACTCACTCTTCTGGCCAGGTATGGTAGCCCATGCTTATAATCTCAGCATTCAGGAGGCTGAGGCAGGAGGATTCCTGGGAGTTCAAGCCATACTGGGCCACATAGCAGACCTTGTCTCAAAAAAATAAAACCAAACTCTTCTTGACTAGTGTGGCATGGCAGAGTAAAATCTGGGAGAGCAGAAGGCTATAAGTTCTCTTTTTATTTATTTGCATTCTGTGAGGATAAAGCTATTTGGTTTTTTCATCAGAAAATTCTTTGGGTTTTTTCAGCTTTTTAACTATGGAATTTAGGACGGAACAAAAACACATGCTTCTGATATTTATGGGCACAGTCTTGAGACAAGATTTGGGAACCACTTTTCCAAACCCCACCTCAACCTCTTTTCCTCACCTCCTGGCTTCTGATTTATCTCATGTGCACTCAGTGATTATTTTTAGACTGTGCCTTAACAGCCTGCTTTAAAAATGCGAGGGTTTTTACTTCTGGGGAGGAGGGAGTAAGGAAAGGAAATGAGGGAGGGAGATTAGGATGCAGTGTTTCATTGGCTTTTGGCTATGACTGTCTCCCTTTCTGGTGGAGATTCCAGGATATACTGACTCACATCAATAAGTCAGATTTCTCCAGGATTTCTTTGTTTTGTTTTGTTTTTTGTTTTTCTGAGACAAGGTCTCAATTTGTAGTTCAGGCTGGCCATGAACTCACTATGTAGCCCAGGCTAGCCTCAAACTCTCGGGAATCTTCCTGCCTCCCAAGTGCTGGGATTACAGGCATGCACCACCATGCCAGGTCCTCTAGCATTTCTTTGTTGATCACACTGAAATTTGTTAGCTCCAGCCACACAGATGTTTGGTCAAAGGAAGACCAGTCTTCCTATTGAATGGAGTCTCAGAGAATCAATGATTGTCCAGGGTCTCATAGAAGTCACTGAGGAGAGCAACACCAGAATGATGTAAGGGCTGAGGCTATAGGTCAGCAGTAGAGTGCTTGCCTAGCATGTGTGAGCCCGGGGTTCTAGCCCCGGTGAGGTAGGGGACAATATGTAGATCTATACTTAATTTGAGTGTGTAAAACTTGCCTTCATTTCTTTTTCCTTCTTCCTCATCTCTTCCTCCTCTTCTTTTATTTATTTGTTCTTGTTGTCATGGGACTTAAACAGGTCCTGGTACTACTAGCCAAACATTTTACTACTGATTAAATTCTCTAGCCCCTTTTTAAAATTTTGAGGTAGGGTCTCACTAAATTGTCCAAGGTTGGCCTTGAACTTTTGATGCTCCTGCCTCCCAAGTGGCTAGGATTATATTGGCATGTGCTACCATGCCTTGCTTCTTTTTCTTTACTTTAAAATTTAAGTAAACTCTGTTTTTAAAACAGTTTTAGATTTGTAGAAAATTGTGATGATACTACAGAGTTCCCATGTACCTCATCTTATTTTTCCTCTGTTGTTAATATCTTACGTTTGTGTGGTATAGTTATAGTCAAAAAACCTATGAGAGCCTGGGATATAGCTTGGTGGTAGTGCACTTGCCTAGCATGTGTGAAGCCCTGGGTTCTATCCCTAGTGCTGCAAAAAAGAAAAAAACCAGAAAACACTAGTAATACATTAGTAATAAGTTCATACTTTTAGATTTCCTTAGATATGTATCATATTACACTTTAAGCTCCTTTTGGCTGTGACAGTTTCTCAGACTTTTTTTTTTTTCTCAGTGGTACTGGGATTGAGCTCAGGACCCTCACACTGAGCTACATCCCCAGACTTTTTTTTTTTCCTCACTATGAGATCAGATCTCTTTTTTCCTGTAGTGGGGATCGAACTCAGGACCTTGTGCTTGCCAGACAGACACAGTGCCACTGATCTACATCGCCCACCTGAGATAAGATCTCTTTAAGTTGCTAAGTTGCCTGGGCAGGACTCAAACTTGTGATACTTCTGCCTCACCCTCACAGAGTGCTGAATAATAGGCATTTGCCACCACACTCTGAGAAACTTGTCTTATCCTTGACACTGACTGGTCAGGTACAGTGTGTCCCTCAATTGGAATTTGTCTCATTTTCTCAAGGTTGGACTAAGGTTATATTTTGGGGGAGGAAAACCACAGAAGTGCCATTTTTAACCACATACCAAAGGTGTATACTGTTAATATGACTTGTCACTGTTAATGTTAATAGTTGATATTGAATACCTGGCTGATGCAGTGTTTGTCAGGTTTTCATCTGTGAAGTAACTGTTTCTCCCCTGTTCATGTACAGCCCAAATTTGAAGGGGAAACCAGGCACAGTGATGCACACCTGTAGTCCCAGCTATTTGGGAGGCTAAGGCAGGAGGATTTCTTGAGTTCAGGAGTTTGAGGTTAGCCTGGGTACCATAACAAGATCCTATCTCTTTAAAAATACCCCCAAACCTCAAAACAACAAAATGAAGAGCTGATCGTGGTGATGGGATTGCAAGTTTGAGGCCACTCTGGGCAAGTTAATGAGACATTGTCTCAAAATTAAAGAAAATAAAAAGGGGTTGGGAAGGGCTGGGGATTTAGCCCAGTGGTGCTGCACCTGCCTTGCAAGCACAAGGTCAGGAGCTCGATCCCCCGGTACTCAAAAAAGGGGGTGGGGCTGGGATGTAGCTCAGAGCTGCCCACATTCAATCCCCAGTAACTCAAAAAAAAAGTGAGTAATTCGGTCCACCTTGTTGGGTGAGTATCTACATGAGTTATTGGGTTTCTTGTGCATAGATGTGTATTCTCTCTCATTTGTTTAGTCAATTTAAATCAGTATGGACTCAGGGATATTTATTTTACATTGAAGTTGTTCCAGCTTTGCGTATTGGGAGCTTTTTGTTAGTCTATGTTGTGTTTGTCTTATCAGGTTACTGTTTTTTTTGAGATGGAGTCTTCACTATGTTTCCCAGGTTGGTCTTTAACTCCTGAGTTCAACAGATCCTCCTGCCTCAGCCTCTGAATGCAGGAACTACTGGCACTTGCACCCAGGCTTACCTTGCCATCTTTTTAACTTCAGTCAGTAACTTTGACATCTTGGCTCTTTGGACCCCCAATTTCAAAATAAGGTTGTAGTGATGTCTCTTTGGTATAGTTTTGCCACTTTATCAAGTCAAAACTTTGTGTCTGTGTTTTACCTTGGGTAGTGTGGGTATGATCCAGACCTGAGGAACAGTTATGTGGTTCAGGCAGTGCACTGGGCAGATGTAGGAACCCAAGTCAGCTTAGTGGTAGGCAGGCTTTCTCTTCTAGCTTGGGAGTATTTTCAGAACTAATAAGCGAAAGGATTCTTTACTATCTTTCCTTTTTTTGTTTGTTTTTTTTTGTGGTCCCCAGCACAGGCCCAAACCCAGAACCTGGAAATAAATCTAGAAAGTAGCTTCCTTTCTAGCTTGTCTTCCTAATAGTTCTTTGTAGGAGCCTCTAACTGCAGCAAGGAATGAGTGGGCCTATCCAGGCCAGGAAGCTGGAGAGGAACTTCTGGGGTCATATACAATCAAGCAGTGATTTCCCAGGTGTTGCCTCCCAGCCTCTCACAATAGCTTATCCTGGGGAAATCTTTGCTGGCAGGTGGCCACAGCTAGAGCATTAGTCAGTCAACCAGGTGCTTTCTTCCTCTTGAATGGTGGTTCCCATACTTAGCTGTCTAGGCCAGCTGAGTCAGTTTTGCTCCTCTGCACTATTAATCTTCTCCCCTGGAGACTCGTTGGCCAACTATGCTCCATATGTGGTCTGACCTGGGGAATGGCTATTGTGGGTAACCGGGGCTCTTTGACTTCTGACTTGAATGGGGCCAGGAGGTATCCTGGGCTAGAGGATAGAAGCACAGAGCTTTGATACTGGAGGCTGCAGAGGAGTGAGTAAAAGTTCCCAGCTCCTCCATGCAGCTGAGCTGGGGAAATATCCAGATGTAGGGAGTCAGCCCAGGGAATCTGAAAAGATACACAGATATCTCTGTTGCCTGCAGAATAAAATGCAAATATCCAGCTTCTTGTCTTAGGTTTTACCTTTCATCTGCAGTCCTCATCTACCTTAAAGTACCTGCAGCTCCCAGTGGTCCATGGATTTGTGCGGTTGGTAATGTGGCCTCTATTAGGAATAGCTTCCCATCTACCATGTTTATCTTCTGATCTACATCCCTACCCCCGATGACCTACACATACATGCTAAAAGTTGGTTTACCTGGCCATCCTTCAGTTCTCAGGTATTGGCCACTTTGACATGCAGGAAGCACACATATAGCCCTCTCTTAGCATATACCTCTGTTTAGACTGTCACACCTGTATACTTGTCATACTAAGTTTCCATGTGTTCTGTGGGGATAAGGAAGTCCCTGTTCATCTGGTGCCTAACATATAGCCCAGCCCAGAGGAGGCATCAGTTAGCATGTAAAGAATGATTTAGGGGGCCGGGGATTTAGTTCAGTGGTTCCGCTGCCTGCCTCGAAAGCTCAAGGTCCCGAGTTTGATTCCCAGTACCAAAAAAAAAAAGGGCATTGAGGCACTACCTAAATACCAGCAAGTTAGCCTGTGGTGTTCCTGGCCGATTTGAGATCTGGGGAGGGCATGTTCTAGTGGGTAGAGTTGGCATTGAACCTGGCCTGCTTCTCATAGGCAGGTGGGTTAGAGCCAGTCTTGTCTTCCCTTAAGTTCAGATAAAGATTGCACAGGTTTTGGTTAGGAATGGTGGCACATACTTATAATCCTAGCACTCTGGGAGGCTGAAACAGGAGAATTGCAGGTTCAGGCTCAACCTGGGTAATTTATCAACTTAAAGCAAGACCCTGTCTAAAAAAAAATTCAAAAAGGGGTAGGGATGTAAAGGCTCTGCATTCAATTCCCAGTTACCACCCCCCAAAAAGAAAAAGATTGTATAGTACCCCCATAGCTCAGTGGTAGAATACGTATGTAGTACACACGAGACCCTTGTTTC